CCCCCCCCCCCCCTACGGATGAGCTTTTCTGAAGGGTGACTCAAAAAGTCGTTTCTGAGGGGTTAAGCCTGTCGGCACCCTTTGATCTCTGCGATTTTTCTGAGGGGTAAGGGGAAAATTTACAAATTTCTGAGGGGTGTTTTGTGTCGGCACTTTGATCTTTTTTTCTTAGGGTTAAAATTTTACTGACCCCATCCGTAGGGGGAGTGTGGATATTAAATGGAATGGCCCTAAAAGGAAAACAGTTCATGTTTTTAGACAAAAATTTAAAGCAACAATATTCGTAAACATTAAATATTCAAAGCAAACTTGCCGTATATTTCACGATTTCCCATAGTAAATCAATTCTTCTCATTTCTTCAAACAAAATTGCTTCAAGCTTGTTGTGTATGAAACGATTTTCCAAATACATGTCTTTTAAAACTGAAATCTTGCTTATCCCACTCCTACACGCAATCAGCCATATTTTTGAGATCAGTGAGGATGACCACCCACTCAACATCGTTGGTGACCACTGAGCTGTAGTGTTGGTGACCGACGCCAGCGCTCATTGATGAACTTTAGACTTGGCTAATGCTTTCGTTTCGCCGGGTGTAAATACCGGGGGGAATTAGTACCCTCGCACGGCGCGGGGAAAATTGCTAATTACTCTATTATGAGCACATATTTACCATCATTATCAAGAATATTCACAGAAGATGGATTTCCCAATTTCACAGCCTCCACAGAAGAAGACACCAAGGATACTCCAAAGGATTCGGTTGGTTCTAACAGATTATCATCAGTTATATCGATTTCTACCCACTTTTCCGTTTCACCAGGTTCAAACGTTATATCCATTGTCTTTGCATCAAAATCGTCCTCACCAGCAGTGCCTGCATTTGTTGTAAAGCTAAAAAAGAAAATAGTTTGAAAACTATGATCAACTTTTCATTAATTTAATGACTGGTACAGTTTATTAAATAGATACGTATGTATGAAAATATGCCATTACCAACCATGAAAATATATACGCTGTGGTCTTTGGAATAAAGATGAACTAATATCTTGTCAAATTGTTCTATTTAATATCGATATTTGAAATTTTTAGGATGAAGGATGAAATCGAAGCTTCAATTTTATATTTCCCACCAACAAGTTCCTGCACGTGTCTGTATTTGTATTGAAATAATAAATAACATGTGAAAATCAGTAAGGCGCGTGAAAAGAAAATCGCAGCCCAATTAATTCAAACATTACACTTTTACTGCATGCATATGCGCATGAAAACCTGAGATTCGAGTGGAAACAAAACTATGAGTGTTTTAAATTAATTTGTTATATGGAGAGGAAAGAAAAATCAACATTAATATTCGTATAGCAATTAGGCCACATCAAAAATTACTTGTTTAGCGTCCTCCCATTTCAATTTTTCTAGGTCGGGCGGGCTGGATTTTTTTTTTTCGTAAAATGCTATACAAAATTCTGCTAAATGCAGGAAATCCAGTATACTACCACAGTCAAAACTCACTTTAATTCTTTCAAAATCCGTTCATGTTTTTTAATACCGTTCATGTTTTTAATAAAACAGAAAATTACCGTTTGGCGGTCACGCGCGAACACTTTACCTGCGAACAGGCATATTCTGGGAAGGAAATACTTTGTGTAAACGTATTACATAGTTCCCGCCTCCCGGAAGAATAAAATCACCATTTTTTCAAGTAAAACGGTCTTTTTTATAGAGAGTTTTTGCACTAAACTCGGACGGATTTTGAAAAAAAAATTGGAGGTCGGGGACTTTTATCAGGTCGGGCGGGGACGCTAAACAAGTAATTTTTTTAGTGGCCTTAGGCCTATCACTTATTTACTGCATGTGCATGACTGAGGGAAACAGTGTGTTTTGTGGACTCGAGTTGATCAAGGTGGTGGAAAGGCCACAAAACACACTGCTTTCCCGAGGTCTCAGTAAATAAGTGTTTTGTTATATAGTACATATATGTATATATATATGTAGGCAATATATGTAGGCAAACAGGAAATTAAACTTTGACACTTGCTATATAACAATTATATTTGATGACAAAATATCTATAGCGTAAACGAATGAAAAGTAAAATAACCTACTTAAATTAAACGGTTTCGGCAGCATATCATGTTATTCATGTTGCATGTTGTGTATTTTCTTCTCTTTTACATTTTTTGATTTAAACACAAACCTGGAAAATCGTAGCCTGCGAACAGGCTCTCAAGCTGAATTGAGAGCCTGCATCGATGACTAATAAATTTGAATATCTGCCCCGTAACGTTCGTTTTTCCAAATATGGAATATCTATCCTTATATGGTTTTGTTTACAACTTTCGTGCAAACTAAATTTAGATTTTAGACCATACAGTTTATACTGTTTTTCGAAATATAAGATGTTCAAGCAAAAGTTCAAATGTTTTAAATACTGTTTTCTCAAAACGTATATTATGCATAGTGCTTCAGCAGTTGACATATATAGAGCTCAGCGGAAACATATAAATTATAGCATCTGACCAATGAGAATTTCGCGTCACGATTTGAGACGCAGATATTCAAATTTATTAGTCATTGATGAGGCTCTCAATTCAGCTTGTTCGCAGGCTAGGAAAATCGTAGTTTATAAACTTGCGAGTTGGTCCGCTATTTTGTTTATTTATGTACGTAGCTAGCTGGTCAGGGCGGGCAACAATTTAACAACAATTGCATTTATCTAAAGCTGCGTGACCACAAATCAACCAATTGAGTAAGGTGTTCACCCAATAGCTATATAACAATGGTTGTTATTTCAATTAATCTTACCTAACTGTAACTGGAACAGCGGTTTTTCCAGAAAGGAGACCGACTTCAACCCTAGCTTTTCCTGAACCCTCAGTTATTTCGTAAACGTCTTGGGTGAAACCAATAACAGCTTCTGCAAATGAAAGATGATTTGTAAAACGTTAGAAGTTATTGCTCTGGTCGCGTTATCAGTTGTTTGTTGAATAGTAAATAGTATATATCCGAGTTATAGAAAATACACCCGTATGCCGAAGAATACGAACTTTTTACCAAAAATGACGTAACCGCCGTTGCTGTGATAACAATGACGTTTCAATATGCACCATTTCACGTGCACCTTCTCCCACCTCATCTACTACATCTCATGCAGTAGATGTGGCATGCTTTATATTGCTTCATATTGGAGACCTTTGAGGACAAGGTTTGGTGAGCATCGGCGTGCAGTCATTGGCAACGATGCTAACCAGCCTGTTGCAAGATATTTTAATACTGGTTTCAGATATGGAAATTCGAGTTCTCTGTCCCATTTCTGGTAGCAACGGTAGCCGCAAAAGACACGAAATGCGCCTCATTTCCAAACTTGGCACTGTCCACCCCTATGGCATTAATGGACGTCTTTCCTGTTTAACTATATCTGTCTTTGCCTGTCTAAAGCAGACATTGACAGTACTTTTAAAGCTTGCCTTAAAACATGAGCAGCAGTGTTTTATCAGACATAAAGATACGAGGCGAAGTAGAGTATCTTTAGGTCTGATAAAACACGCACTGCGAATGTTTTAAATTGTCAAAAACGATCGATCCAGTAACTTTATTTGCGAATTAATTCTCAAAAAATACGTTGTGTAAGTCGAGAAAATTGAAGTCAAAGTATATGTATAAATCAAGGGAAATCTCTATTACATATAAAGATACGATTTGTGTGTTTTCCTCATGAATTATTAATGAAGTTTTGAATAAATTTTTAAAAACCTACACTGACGATTTTTTGAAAGTTGCAACGTCAGTGGCGTCAACTTTTTTTCGTGTACTGTTTTTTGTAACAAAGATACAAGTATTTCTTGTTTAGGAAAGCAAATAGTAAAAAATTCCTCCCCGAGACTTAAATTTCCTCTTGTCAGAAAACAGTAGGAGGCACCTTAATCTTTATTTTGGTGCACTTAAAACAGTTGTTTTACCATCGTTATCCAAAATGTTCACTATTGCTGGATTTTCTAACGAAACAGCTGGATTTGAGGTAGAAACGATCGAAACGTTGAATGATTCCATTGCTTCAACTAGTAAATCATCAACCAGGTCAATTTCAACAACTTTTGGACCAGTTTCTCCTGGTTGAAATGTTACATCTACTTCTCTGGACTTAAAATCTTCATCACTTGCAGTTGTAGGACTTGTGGCTAGGCTGTAAGTACAAATGAAGAGTTATTAACAATTATTGTCTACGAATGATTTTAAATTTGTGAATTCACGCTAACCAGGTACAATATTTAATGTTTTTGCTTGACACTCTAGTTATTAAAGTAGATAAATGCCACCCACGAAGAAATTATATTCACGACCCAACGTTTCGATACTCCGATGTAATGTCTTTATCAGAGGTTATCTAAAGTCGAAACGAACAGTATCTATCATATATTGGAGGGATGACGTCATGGGTCAACGAGGTGTGGAGGATTACTCGTCCCTTCGATCTTTGACTGAGTCACTGAAGAAAAGCTTTATTTATAAAAGATCTGTCCTGTGGAACAGCCTAACTGTACGCTGAAGCAATTATTGCTACATCATTCTGTAGCGACTTTCAAAAACATTTTAAGGCAAACATCATATTTGGCATTATTATAGTTAATTTTTGAAACTTTAAAAACTTTGTAAATATTTCTATTCTTAGAGCATATATTGTGAATGAATTTCATGTTAAATAAAGTTTTAATAATTAATAAACAATATTTACAAAAATATTTACTTAATTAAAAAACATATAGCGCGCGAAAAAAGGGGTGATATCGTAGATAGAGTCAATCCTATATATTAGAGACTAACCGGACGGTGACGGGTGATGTTGCTTCGCCTCGTGTAAATCCGATTGAAATTTGGGCCTTCTGGTCCTCTGGGACATCATATGTTTGACTTGTAAATCCAATAACAGCATCTACAGTATAATACAAATAACAAAACCTATTTGTATAGGTAATAGTATATGGTTTCGAGTGCAATTTGGAAAAAAAACATGCATGCACGAGTCAGTTTTTCAAAGACGATCAAAATTTCACGAGTTTTTCAAACATGATCAAAGATTAATCGACACCGATACGAGCCCGCGCGCAGCATCAAACACAAAATCTCAAAATCAACAACTTGAAAATTTATATTTTATAAGCTCTTATTTTGCAATGAGCTCTTTAAGTATGTTTAAATATTAAAGATAAAGAAGAAATAAAGATTATTGACATTTTTTCACAGGTATAAATTGAAAATTAATGTCAGAAATTAGCCTACTCTCAAATTTGACAATTGACAAAGGCGCGCATGGCTGTGCTCGCGTGACTACAAATCTACAATAATATAATGATTGCTCGTATAATATTGACTATAAACATGATATTAATAGAAATTACACTTGTTCTCGAAGTATTAATGAAAAATCACACTTGTGTTTGGCGAAATATTTATAATACTGCTCGTGCTACGCACTCGCGATTATTATAAATATTTTGCCAAACACGCTGTTTTGGCACTTTAATAGAACTGCATAATGCATGCTAATTATTTAATATTTAATTAGGTTAATTTTGGTCACGTGTTGTTTGTTTTAATCATACGATCGAAAGTCGAGGACAAAAGGGAACAACAACTATTTTGACAGCCAAATAATACGATAAAAATGTATTAAAACTTGTACGAAATAAACCTTAGAACATTGTCCGTGTCTTTGTGTTGCGAAGAGTTCACAACAGTCAAAATAGTTTGATTAATAGAGCGAAATGGGAAGTTATTTTGGGTGAAATATGCTAGATCAATAACAAATTCCGAACGCGTTCGAGTAGTGACACGCTAGAAAACAAAGACATCGAGTGTTAAAGATCGCATCAACGATGGTTAAAATTGAAGAGTTAAATCGGAAGAGGAGTTCGGCGAAGAAAAAGTTCGACCACGAAGTAAAAAGCTTCGAATTTGTGCTAGAAGCTCGCCCGGAAATACATAGTCTTGAAGAGGCTTTTGGCGAAGTCAAGGTAAAATATAAAGCTGTAAGAGAAATACATGATGGAATTACCGACTTAATGGTCGAAGCTGACATTGAGGAAGCCGATTTTACAAACCATGATATTTTTGTTACGGAACTCATTGCAAAGTATGGCGATTTACTCTCAAAGTTAGAACAATATCGACGAAAATGTGAAGTAGATCAAACATCAAAGGGACTAGTACCGACTGAAATGGAACCCAAACAACAAAGGTCTAATCCGGAGAGAATCAAGGTACCACAATTTTCTGGAAACATTAAAATTTATCGAACATGGAAAAGAATTTTCGAGGACACTACGAAGAGAAATTATGAAAATGAACGAAGTCAACTTGCAAGATTGATTGAAGCTATCCAACACCCACTGAGATATGAAATTGAATGTTTTACTACAACTAAAGCGATATGGGAATTTCTCGACAAGTTATTTGGAGACGACAAAGAGTTGATTAAAATTTTGATGAATGATATCAAAACAATGAAACCCTTGAAGGTCAAAGATGCAAAGTCGATTCGGAATTTGGTCGCAATGGAGGATGTTGGAGCATCTGACGAAACCAAAAGTAGATATGTGTTTGCTGATATTCTGGCGAAATTGACGGTAGAAGATCAAAGAGCTTACGCACGGAGTATGATTGATACAAAGAAGATTGAAAGCCTGCATACCTTGTTGGAATACCTAGAAGAAGAGGCAAAAATAATGGCAAGTAGTCAATCGGATCAACGCTCTTCAAAAATTGGGATTTATCCAGTTAATGTGGACGGTGGTTACAATGGTGGTTACAATTGTGGTTTGGGTTGTTCCCAACAACATGGTTTAGGTTATTGTCCAGCATTTAAGAAGATGAAAGTGAAGGAAAATTGGGAAGTGGTGATTCAGTCCAAGAGATGTAAGAAATGTCTGCGAACTGGACACCGACAGTGTTCGCGAAAGGCATGTGATATCAACAGTTGTGAAAGACCACATCATTACCTATTGCATAAAGATCCAAAACAAGTGGACAATCGCAATCTGAACCCTGATGCACAACCATTCAAACCAGATCAGGATGAAGCTACAGGCACAGGAAAGTCCAATCAGATTGGTGCTATGGGAACTCTATTGAGGGACTTGCCATGGTTGATAGTGGTTCTAATAAGAGTCTCATTCGGAAAGAGTTTGCGGAGAAGCTCGGTGTGGTCGGAGAATCAAAAAAGATGAAGATGTATGTTGCAGGCGGTGGAATTAGAGTTGAAGATTCTGCTGAGTTTGATTTAAAGATATCGCCCTGTTATGATGAAGATATTGTATTCAATGTGAGAGCTTATTCAGTCAAGCAACCACGCCAAGCAGCCAAAACTATTTCAAAGAAAGCGGTAGTCAGATTTCCTCACCTTGTTCGAATTGTAGAAGATCTACATTTAAATGGCGGTCCAGTGGACATTCTATTGGGAACAGATCTACCGGAAGCCCATCGTGATTTTAAAGTTCTGGCGGGTAACCCTGGTGAACCGATTGCAAAGAAGAACATCTTTGGCTGGTCAGTCCTTGGTAATCTTGAAGAGAATAGTACACCTGGAATTTTTGCTGTCGAAACCATTGACGACATAACAAAGGACCAGGACATAAAGAAATTGACTTTCCAAGATCAATTAGGAATCAAACCAACTGGTCACTGTACATGCTCTGAGAAGGAAATGCGAGAATGTGCATTTATTCGACATGTTCGGGAGTCTACTAGAGTTTTGGATGATGGAAGAATTGAAGTAAGAATGCCTTGGAAACCAGGACATCCCAATCTACCTAACAACCGGTCTATCGCCTTCGAACGAATGGTGTCGAAAGAAAGGCAGCTGGTAAAGAAAGGAAAGTTGGAGGCGTTTAACAAGGAAGTAAAAGCTTTGGTCGACAGGGAAGTGGTCATTAACCTGAAACAAGAGGAAGTAGACCCAGCAGAGCCGGCTTGGTATCTACCGATTGGAGAAGTGGAAAGTCCCGACAAGACTACCAAGTGCAGATTAGTTTTCGATGCAGCAGCCAAAATGGACGGACTTTCCCTCGATGATGCTCTTGAAAAAGGACCATGTCTTATGAATTCCTTATTTGATGTGTTGATTGGCTGGAGACAGAATGGAGTCACCTTTGCTGGAGACGACTCGAAGATGTTTAATGAGATAGCTATCCATCCGGATGATCAGAAATACCACAGATTCTTGTGGAGAGACGGAGAAACTGACAGAGAGCCTGCCATGAATGCCATTAATCTTCTCGCTGATAGAGCTCAAGTCAAATCACCAGAAGTAGCAAGAATCCTAAAGGATAATACTTATGTTGATGACGTTGCGGGGCCGGAGACATCACCAGAGAAAGTCAAGAAAGTGGTCGATGGTATCGATACCATTTTGGGGAAAAGCAAGTTTGCCATCAAAGCGTGGCACAGCAACAGCCCAGAGATTGATCAAGATGGCAACGAGAATCCGGCGAATCTACTGGGTCATCAATGGAACATGAAAACTGATAGCATTGCTTTGAAGAGCGAGACAGTGTATACAGATTTCAGTTATTGTACGAAACGAAAGGCTCTTGGTGTGGTGTCTCAACTGTGGGATCTGCTAGGACTGATGGCGCCAGTTACAATTCGGTTTCGAATTGATCTCCAAAATCTATATCAGTGGGATGAGTTATTGCCACCTGAAGAAAAGTTAAAATGGCAAAAAAATGTCGGAGTTGGTGATCTTGTATTAGAAATCGATGGGAATCGCAAGAGAGGTGAGTGGC